TTTATCTTTAGCTATCTTTTTAATTTTATATGGTCCTCTTTTAGTTCTTGATTTTTTATAATTTTTATTAGGTATTTTAGGACTTGATTGTATTCTTTTCTTATATTGATAACTTAAGTTGCAAATATTGTATTTAGGGGTATTTTAGGTAGTTTAAATGGTTGAATAGTGAAAAGAGGTATTTTGGAAAGGCTATTACTAAATTTTGGGTATTTACAATAATTTCCCGGGAAAATTTCAGTTTCAAAGCAGGAGTTGTGTATAATAATTTAAATTATAAATAATTGATAAATAAGTGAATAATATTCGTAAATTCCATAAAACATGTAAAGAGAAAAAAATTTGACCAAAAATATTTATATAATATAAATAATTGTCAAACATGCACTTAATCACTAAATTTTAGTTTATTTGCAGTTAAATGGCTCGACTTCAATTTTATTTCACAATGCATCAATTTCGCCTATCGCGTTAGTAATAGAAGATATCAATATTCATGTTGCTTGGATCAAAGCGTAAGTTAGTGATTTTTCGATTAGTAAACTTTCATCATCTAAGGTGCAACTTTAATACTATTTCGCCAAGAATGTGTAGTAGTAAAAATTGTTCTGTTAGTACAAACGGCCAAAGTCAAAAAATAAGGCCCACATATAGTACACTTGATAAACGCGCCATCTTTGGCCCTGTTCGTTATGTCGATCGGGCCAAATGCACGGTCCAAGACCCATGTGTCAATTCGAAATCCCTGATAATTTATTTTCAAGATAAATCACGCTATGATTTGATCAGATCAAGCAGAAGATATCTGAAAACACTTAGGTATCTCAATCGAATAGATCTTATCAGGATCAAGTTCAGTTCCAACCAATCAGAAAATCTCGCAGAGTCCTCGCCAATCTCGCCTAAGCGATTATCCCACTACTATAAATTTTGTGATCAGTCTTACATTCAACTAGACAAGAAATAACTACTCTACTCTAAGTTACTTTTTCTTTCATTTGGTCTAGCATTCATATAATCCTTGATAAGCTTTCCTAACTTGACCGGGATCTTCGGTCGGCACCACGTCGGTGTGCTCTTAAAATCTTTTGCAGACTCTCTTCCTCTACTTTTTCGCAGGATTGCTGGTGGCTTGACCAACTTGATTTTCTTAATTTTAGAATCCACTGTCTACAATTTGGCGCCCACCATGGGGCCCTAGCAATCATTTTTACGAACAAAGCTCTTACCATTACTATTCATCAATCACGATGTCAGAAACTTCTGAAATCCATCGTACAGATAGCTCTACTAATTACGCTTTGGATAAAACGGCTTGTCAAGGAGTGGAACAAATGATTAGCCAGGAGGTGGAAGCAATAAGGCAATAGGGAGATAGCTCAAAAGAACTTCTTTACTTGATGAACGGACCAATGATAGGCACATGGATGCTCTAGATGGACGAGTCAAGCAACATCAATGGTGCAAGCCTCGGCATCATCTTAACATCCAGAAGGAGAGCAGATAGAATAGGCTGTCAGGTGTAAATTTAAGGCGACTAGCAATGAGGCAGAATACGAAGCACTTATTGCCGGACTGATCTTAGCAAAGGAAATATGAGTCACTCGAATAAATGTTTGCAGCGATTCTCAGTTGATTGTAAACTAGATCCAATGCATTTTCTAGCCAAAGACACAAAGATGACATCTTACCTAGAGTTAGTCAAATGGCTCTGCATCAAGTTTGATGAGTTCCAGACCACTCAAGTTCCAATGACTAAAAACGTCCAAACAGATGTGCTAGCCAGCCCGAAGTAGCTATGAAAGGTTAGATATCAATTGTTAGATACCTCCAAAACGACGAATTGCCACCGACATGAATGAAGCTCGACGAACCAAGGTTAAGGTTGCCAGATTTTGTATTATAGATTGTAAGCTGTATAAAAGATCATTCTCTGGACCTTATCTGATGCATCGACAACACTGAAGTCGAATATGTCTTAGTCGAACTTCACGAAGAGGAATGTGGCAATCACTTAGGAGCCCGAAGCTTGGCGCACCGAGCACTTACCACTGGGTACTATTGGCCAACAATGCGGGCCAACTCTTTTAATCATGTCAAAAAGTGTGATCGATGTCAGCGTCTTGCACCTCCCTCCCGAACAGCTCAACCTCAATCTTTCACCCTAGCCTTTCTTGAAATGGGGGATGGACATTGTCAGAAAATTTCCAACTCCTCCAAGACAACAGGTCTATATACTAGCAGTCACAGACTATTTCACGAAATGGATTGAAGTTGAGACACTCTCACAGGTTATTTGATCGCGAAGTTATCTAATTTGTCTGGAAAAATGTGATATGTAGGTTTGGAGTTCCATAAGAAATAGTTACCAGAAATGGGTTACAATTCATAAGCATTTGGTTTCAAAATTTCTGCAAAGAGTGGAATATCAAACTGAACTTCTCCACTCCGCGGTATCCTCAAGCCAATCGTCAAGTCGAATCTT